ACATTTAAGCTGACAGTAAAACTATTACTTGACCATGCTCACTGCTGAACAGGTAACCAGCTCAACAGATTTGAGGGTCACAGAGCTATAAAAAGAAAGCATTTCCCTTTGTTTTATCCACAAACATATCAAGGGTATAAGGGTTTGTTTCTTTGCAGTCTCTGTAATTCTTACTGATGTTAACAACATTATATTTTTACACACTAATTGGTGCAGTCTGAACCAGACCTGCTCCAAACATGGGAGATGTGAGCCAGGCAGGCAGCAATCTTCCCACACTTCCTTTTGTGCCGGTTTAAAACTCACCAGGGACCTCACAGAAACCTTACCAACAGCAACAGCTGAAACAAGTCATAAATGTGGCTGCTCCCAAGGCCCAGAGTGTGCAGGCTGCTCTGGCTGGTGCCACGTGTCCCCTCTCCCTCCCAGGGGAGTCTGGCTTGTGTTTGCTGCAAGGCGTCACCACGTCCCTCTTGGCACACTCATTTCTCCAAAGGCTCTGCCCCATAGTTCAGGCAATTGCTGAATAATAAATTCAGGCAAATACAGTATATTAAAAGCTGAATTTAGCCTTAAATTCCTTAATTGTAATTTGTAATATTGTAATTGTCTCAGCATTTTCTTTTTTGATGTAATTCGTTAGCTGTTTTTACCTGACAGAGCTCTTCTTTGCCTATTTTATTAAGTCAGTCCTTTCTCTTTTTAACTTAGAGAGTCAGGCATTGGACTGATTGCATGTTTCTAGTGCACTTCCCTTTTTCCAAAGGGAAAAAGGACATAGACCTCCACAGCGTGCCAAAAGCCTGAAAGGATTTATGTTAAATATTAATCTGAAGTTGGTCATAAAATCACAGGAAGTGCCAAATCTAATGCCTGAATTCCTAAGTGCCAGGAAACCAGACTTGCAAGTCATTAAAAACTAAACAAAATCTGCAATGGCACAACCAGATGAGTTGCCACACACCTTGTGACTACTCAGAACACTGCCTTGTTTACTTAGGTAATGATGTGGCTTCTGTATGAAAGGACACATTTTTCCTGAGCCCAGGAAAAATGAGGCCATCAGACTCTACTTGGACCTGAAGGAGAATCACACCTCATGTGCCACCAAGCCCTGATGACATCTTCACCATTACTTCTCATTTTATAGAAACATGGCCAGTGTAGGAGCTACTTAACAGCAGGGGATTTCCCCCCAAATATGAACAACAAATAGGAAATTTGTCATTGCTAGTGCTGGTTGCCTCAGGAGAGAAAAAGAATGCGCTTATTTACAAGATTCTGTAATTTAGTTGCTTCAGGTTCCAGGCTGCAAATAGATCGTTTATATTTTTTAAAAAGTTGAAATGACAATTAGCAGCAAAATGGACATTAGTTGTATCCAGTTATGCAAAAGTTATGCAACAGAGCATTATTTTGTTCTTCTGGTACTAAAATTGGAACAGAACTGCAACCTGTAGTGGGGGAAACAACTCTGTGCTTGCACCTGCCAGAACAAGGATTATTTGTCTGTTCCACAGCAAGTGGGACAGCCCAAAAGTTGGGCTGCTAAGGCACTCAGGCAAAGGAGGGAATACTCTAGGAGAAGGCATTAGACTCTGAGCTGTAGGATAAGAGTGAATTTTGGGACTTTGTTTCTGAAATGAAGAGCTGAACTGTGGGAACTGTGAATCCTCAGATGAACAAGGCACCCCTTGGAGCCTAGACATGAGCAGCAAAATGTGAGAACCACTACAAGAATAGCAAAAGTTATTCACAACTTTCTGATAAAAAGAAGGGGTAGCACTTTTCAAGGAGTGACACTTACTTCCTCAGAAGTTTCCAACTGCTCTATATTCTTATCTCTGTATTTTCTTATGACAATAATTTATCAGGAAAAAACACAGAATATCCTTTTACATTGGCTTCTGTTGGTTCATTAGTGTCTGACACAGTTTTTTTTTCCTGCATTTTATTTCACAGTCTTGCATAACCTTGAAATTTCTGATGATAAAACCTGTGATACTTGTTCTGCCAGTACTAAAACCACACCCCCTGAACTGTAACCTATGGCTATAAGACTCGTAGCAGGGAAATTCAAGAAGAGAAATGATCAAGCAAGTTCCCACTGAATTTCTCATTAAATTAGAGAGGATGGGTTTTGCCCAGCTTCAAACTGGATCTCAAGGACCATGACCATTCCTGGGATTGTAACCCATGATTATAACTGCTCCAAAATAACACAGCCTAGAAACAGTTTTTCCAGATCACCTTTGCAGAGCAGTGAGGAGCATAGCATATGGCTCCACATGCACAGAAATGCTGTCTGGACTGACTGGCAGAGCACTCCTTAAAATAGCTCTGAGTCAGCAGGTTTTGCAGTCACGAAGGCAGAGCAAGGGGAGAGATTGAAGCAGCTCACAAAGCATTGATGCACACACCGCAACTCCTACTCCTGGTGCAGCTTTTGGAGCGTTCTCAAGGAAGAGGAGGGTTAGATGGGCAAAGGCTTTTAAATATTCTCTCATGCAAAGGAATGGAATTAGGCCCACAAAAGTAATTTGCTTGGAATATTAACCTGGGAAATGGGAGATACATTTGAACTCCCTTGTGGCAGAAAAGCAACTGAACTTGGGTCATTTACAACCTGATTATCCTAACCATGAGTAATTTTAAATAAAAAGAGGCAACTGGGATTTCTTCTCCAGCTGTGCTTGTCATAAGGCTTGATCTTATAATTGTGCTCTTAGGATATCTGCAGGATGAGACAAGTAGAAATTGGAATGAGAAAGGTAGATGAACAACTTATATTTTAAATATAGGGAGAGTTCAAAAATATCTAATGCATATGCTATAAATTACCATGCATTCATCTCAAACTTGAAGAATGGTTTGTGTAATGTTGAAAATTCATACACATTTATTAAAATAACCTTGCCTAAGGACTATGTTCGGTGATCTAGGTGCTTAGATGCTCAATCCTGTATCTGGTCAGATGCTGTGTGAATTGACCCACCTGAAGCTTCACCCTGCCCTAGACACTTTGGCTACTGCAGGACTGTGTGATCAACAGGTGTGACCCCTGAGCCCTGTAATGAACAGCAGAAATGAAATAAAAGATGTTGTGAGAACCAAGGCAATTAGTGGAAATGCTGCAGCATTTACAAAAATAGTTTTTCGTGAGAGGGTGTTGTTTGGAGCTTCTGAAGCTGCACACACCCAAACGGATGGAATGCTTTAGGAAGCAGGGAAAGGTAAAATTATAAGCTGAGCAATGTCCTCTCCTATATTATCAAAACAGACTTTTTATGTCTGCCTCTCTTATAGGGTGGGGATTTTTTGGAGGGGATTTTTTCCAGTAGATTTTTACCAGTGCTATATGACAGCAGCCATTGATGACGTGGAGAGAATGAGGACAGAGATTGTTCTGAATGCTCAGCTGCAATGGACAGCCACCACAGCTAACATCTGTCTGTCTGTCTGTCTCCCCTCCTCCCCAGCTCCACTCAGCCAGCAGTATGCCTCACCCGAAGAATTTGGTTTGAAAACCGTGAAGAGTTGTCCAGCCATGAGAATCAAAAAACCCAAAACCCACGAGAATTAAAAAGACCAAAACCAGACAGGAATGTTGTTTGCTCTGAGTCTGGTATGGGCAGTGTCCTGCCATGGTCACAGGACACCTGAGTCTGGAGGCCACCCAGCCTTCTGGAGTGATTGCTCCCTGCCTAGCTGTGTCAGTCATTAATTCCCCACAAGAACCCATGGGAGGAGAAGTGAGGAATAAAGACTGGATTTTCTATTTTAAAGAGATTATATTTTGCATAAAATTTTTCATATTTTTGTTTTAAAAAAAAGCCTCACCCCCCTCCTTGCCAATAACAACCATATTCTGCTGCATCTAGAAGAAGCTCCTGTTTTGTTTCAGTGCTTTGAAATTAAGTTTATATTCTAATAACCCTGTCCTCACTCAGGAACTCTTGAACGGAAAACGATTGGGAATTCAAGGGTGCTGGTAACAGGGGCTGGGCATGGCAGGACCCTCTTCCCAGTGAAACCCTTGAGAATTTAGAAAAAAAACCCAAAAAATAAAAAACCAGACAAAATTAATTTTTTAAAAAAAATTATAATTTATTTTTTAGAAGACAAGATTTATTTTTAAAAAGACAAAATGTATTTTTAAAAAAGCAAGGACTTCAGGACAGGCATGAAGGCAGTGCAGCCTGACTGAGATCAGTGGATCCAGGTTTTGCTGGGATTGACTGCCCAGGTGCAGGGGTCCCAAATGGCAGCTGGGCACCATTCCTGTCTATCACCTGTGGACATTCACACAATCACTGAATGGGACAGGTTGCAAGGGACCACAGTGGGAAATCTGGTCCAAGCTCCCTGCGCAGGCAGGGTCATCCCAGAGCACACGGCACAGGAATTGTGTGCAGGCAGTTCTCGGGTATCTCCAGTGAGGGAGACTCCGCAGCCTCTCCGGGCAGTCTGTTCCAGTGCTCAGTCACTCGCACAGTAAAGAAGTTCATCCCCACATTCAGGTAGAACTTCTCGTGCATCGGTCTCTGCCCGATTCCTCTCGTCCTATTGCTCGGCACCACCGAGCAGGGCCTGGCTCCTTCCTTTGGCCCCCTCCCTTCGACACTGATAAACACGGACGAGGTCCCGTCTCAGCTGTCTCCTCCCGAGGCTGAGCAGGCCCAGCTCTCTTAGCCTGTCCTGGTAAGAGAAGAGATGTTCCAGCTCCTGGATCATCTTTGTCTCCCCCCGCGCTGGACCCACTCCAGGAGCTCCCATCTCTCTCGTACGGAAGAGCCCAGACCTGAAGAGCAGGGCAGGCTCACCGCCCTGACCGCTAGCCGGGCTCCCCTCACGCATTCCGTCCCACCCGCCCGCCGCGCGAGCCGCTCGGGGCGGGGCGGGGCCGCGCTGCCGTGGTAACGGGGGCGCGAGACACCCCGGAAGCGAACGCGCGCGCCGGCCCCGCCCCCCCCTCGGCGCTCGGTCTGGCGGCCCCGCGCGCGGCGGGTGACGACGTGTCGCGCGCGCGCGCGAGGGGGGAGCCGGAAGCGGCGCGGCCGCGTCAGGGCGCGCGCGGGGGGCGAGAGACGGAGCCGCGACCCCGCTGCCGCCCAGCGACCCCGGCCCCGCCGGCCCCTGCCCCGTGGTCCCACGGCCGGACATGGCTCTGCGGCGGCTTCTCCTCATCGCTGCCGCGCTGGCGGCGGCCACCGCGCCCGCCGCCGCCTTCTACCTGCCGGGCCTGGCGCCCGTCAACTTCTGCGAGGCCGGCAAGGAGAAGCCCGAGTGCAAGGTGAGCCCGGGGGGCGCTGAGGGGAGGCTCCTGAGGCCGCCCGGGTGCGGCGCGGCCTGGGTGTTGTCCCCCTGCCGCGGGGCTGCGTGGTGGAGTTTGTCCGGAGGGGTTGGAGCCCCCCCGCCGTGCCGTACCGGGGCTGTGGCTGCCGGGGCCCCGAGCGTGGTTCCGTTCCCGCTGTGCTCAAGTTGCTCACAGAATTGTTAGGGTTGGAAGGGACCTCTGGAGACACCCGGTCCAGCCCCCCTGCCAAGGCAGGGTCACCGGGAGTAGGTGACACAGGAGCGCATCTGAATGTCTCCAGAGGGGGAGACTCCGTGACCGCCTGGGCAGCTGTTCCAGTGCTCTGTCACCCTCATCGTAAAGAAGTTCCTCTTCGTGTGGAGGTGAAACTTCTTGTAATTTAGTTTATGACCATTGCTCCTTGAAAAGGAAATTGATGAGACAGAGGACCCAGGGGAATGGCAGAGGTGCTTGCCTGGCTCAGCTCCGGCCTGGCTGGATGACCACGATCCCTCCGAGGGAAGGAGAGAGCTGTCGGCTCATCCTGTGAGTTACGGCCACGTCGGGGAAGTAGGAAAGTAGGAAGCTCCGGCCGGTTATCTCCTGTATCCTTTCAAATCCCTGCAGGAAAGCTGCAGCAAGAAAGGATGGCAGTGACAGGTCATGCCGAGGGGTGTGTGTGTGTGATTCTTGGCAGGAGCGAGCAGCTGGTGGCTGGAGCAGATATCAAAGTAAACATCCCGTAACATTTTCTTTGCTGTGTCTTCCTGGCTGCAGGAACCTGAAGTGTAGGGGCTGCCAGGGCCCGGAATGTCAAGTGAAGCTTAAACTTACCTTCATGTCTGCAGAAGGGACAAGCAAAGTTTGCATAACCAAGTAACTCATTTGTAAGGATATTGGTGGGGAGCATTCATGTAAATCTCCTCTGATGAAAAATCATCTTTGCTCCTTTGGGGCGCATTTTGAAGTTGTTTCCTGCTGCTGTGATGGAAATTACAGCAGACTATGCTTTAATACTTGAATGAGAAAGTTCAAGACTAATCAATTTTATGATCTATGGTCTTACTACTGTAGAAAGCGGCTGTCTTGCACTTTCTGAGCTCTCAACTTCTGCATTGCATGAAACACTGGTTCATAATTCTTCAGAATAAGAGCCTGCTTAAAACTGTATGCTTTTGGTAAATACCATGTGCTGACTTTATCCTTCTGCTGTCCTGAATCAGCCGAGCTGGGAATAAACCAAGTACACAATGAAGGCAGTTCAGTTGCAGTAGTAAAATGTCCTGTGGGCATTCTTTTATAGGACTACAGAAATGGTGTTTGAAGTGACCTCAACAGGTCACATACTGCAAGCCTCACGAGTATGGAGCATGAGAGGACAGAAAGCACCGCTCTTGTCAACACTAGATCAACTCAGCTCTACCTTTGTTTAAGCAAGCTTTGGAAACATCCAAGCATGTAGCCATCTCCTCCCTGGGTGACCTGTTAGAGTGCTGCACCACCCTCTCAAGGAATGGGTTTTTTCAAATACAGGCTAAACCTTTCAAGCTGCACTTTGTGTTTTTTCACAACATCCCTGAAAAACATTACAATGTTTGGATTATTCCTGTTTTAAGCTTGTAGAAGGCAGATTTATTTTTTAAAGTCAGGTGGACTTCATAGCCTACTATATTTTGTAACCAATCTGAGACGCTTATGGGGTGATCTTTCTCAGATGTCTCTGCAGTTTTATTCCTCATAAAACACGTACAAAATGTTTGTCTTCTCCTGAGATTTTATCATTTAATAAATGTGACATGAGGTACTTGGGTAATTTAAATGTACCACCAGCAGGCAGCTGAACACCTCGACAGCTGTAGTAGTGCAAAAAATCTTTCTGCAATTAGCCACCTCTTTGCAATTTCCATATTAGACGTAGGCATATGGAGAAGTCTAAAGCACTCTTCACATCTAATTGTCTCCATGTAGTCTGCAGCTGAATGTACTCTGGTTCCTGGTAAGGAGAAACAATATATGATTGGATTATTGCTGTATCACATTTATGTAAGTGGATAAAATTAAGCTTCCTTGGACAGGCTTCATTTCTCACAGGTTTCTTGCAGTTCTCACTGTTAATTACAATGTCAGTAATAGTGCATTTTCCTCTGCCTGAGGATTTCAATCCACATGCCAGATCTCAATACCTACTATTTGTTTGTTATGATCCCTGTGATCTCCTGTCCTGTGTTGGTGAGGTGGGATGAGATGTTGTTAATGGGGCATGTAGCTAAGAACAGTGAGACCTGTGGCTTTCCCCCTATCTCCAAGTTTCCTGCTAATCTGCTTGGGCAAACTCAGTTTGGCTCTTTCTTCTGGTTTTGGTTAGAATACCATCAGAAATTGAATGGGATCTATGCAGATCCATTACTTAAATAGTAATTCTTGCCTAAAGATTAAGAATCCTTACTCAGTTTTAAAAAATCCTGATTGTTCCAAAAAGGGTTTGGTGTTGTATGGGAAATGGTTTATCAAATATGCTGATCTGCAATCATGCATGTAATTCTTAGGAAAAATTGCAGCATTCAGTAAATCTCCTCCGATGAAAGTAGCTAATTTAAGGCCACGGTTCTGTGGCCAGCTGAGGCAGTCTAATTCCCTGCTGCTGAGAGTGAGAGATTTCATTGCTGCCTTCCCCTGGGCAATGTGTTCCTGTCCTCTGCATTCACTCAGCTGTGTTACTTGTAGTGGTTTTGAGCTTAACATGGCAGGAAACTATCCAACTTTTTGCCAGTCTAGTTTCCTGTTGTGTTTGGGAGTTGAAGTGATTTACAGAGTTATGGCAAGCATAGACTACCCGGAGGTGAGCAGCAGGTCTGCATGGCTTAGGGCAGGGGAAAGATGAGCCTGAAGGTGTGTCTTCACTTAGTGGGTCATCCTAACAGCTCACAGAACTTCCTGTGTCTCCCAGGACTGCATCCTGACTTGCACATGGACAGCTAAGTCATATCAGTAAAACACGGTACCCAACTGAAGTATCTGAGCTACAGATACATGTGAACATTTCTGGCTTTTCTTTTCCTCCAGAATTTCTTGGTTTGGCTAAACTTGAGTGAATTTTCATAGGGAGGAAATGGTCTTCTGTTGGTAAGAAAATAGATGGCTTGCTGTTGAAAGGGAGAGGGTTTGTTCTTGAGGGCATTCACCTTTGCTTTGCTCTGCTCTTCAGCTTTTGTCTGATTACACAGTAAGACAGCTCAGTTTGTGTTGTGGTTTAACCCTAGCTGGCAACTAAGAATCACACAGCTGTTTGTTCCCTGCTGACCCCAGTGAGATGGTGAGGAGAAATAGGGGGAAAAGTAACTTGTGGGTTGAAATAAGAACACTTTAATCAGAAAAGAAATACTCCTACTACTAATGACACTAACAATAACAATAATTTTAATGAAAAGGGGAGAGAGAGAGGCGGGCACGAAACCCAGGCAAAACAAGTTGCACAGTACAATTGGTCACCACCCACTGATGGATGCCCAGCCCGTCTCAGAGCAGTGATTGTCCCCTTCCAGCCAACTCTCCCAGTTTATATTCTGAGTGTGGCGTTCCATGGTATGGAGTGGCCCCTTGGCCAGTTCAGGTCGGCTTCTCCTGGCCCCATTCCCTTCCAGTTTTTTGTGCACCTCTGTGCTGGCAGAGCATGGGAAACTGAAAAGTCCTTGACTCAGGGTAAGCACTACCTAGCCACAACTAAAACTTCAATGTGTTATCACATTATTCACTCACTGAATACAAAACACAGCAATGTGCCAGCTACTAAGAAGTAAATTCTGTCCCAACTGAAGTGAGGACAGCCTGCTATGATACTAAGAACTGCTCTTCAAAATTTTTTTGTTTAAGTCTTTTGCTGTTAAGCCCATTAGATTGATTTACTGTACAAGTAGATAACTGCCAAAAGCAGTCTACAGCAAACATTTGAAATTTATTGGAACTGCAAGACTAGAATAAGGGAAGGGATTTTGAGACTAAGAGGGTAGAGTGAGAGTCCTCTCCCTTTCAATAGAAGCGGAGTAGCCCATCTGTAATTAATGTATATAGATTAAACTAGTCTGAAACCACAGTATACTGAATTCCAGGTTCTTACTTGAGTTGATAGAGTTAGTGAAAAACTTCTATAGGAAGGTAAATGTGGGTATCCTTGCCTTCCCTTTGTAAAGAGATTCTGTTCAAACTTAAAATGTATCAGTCTGAATGCATTTGTTGAAATTATCGTAGTTCAGTTTATAGTTACTACATATATAAAATTGTGGAGCATCCTTAATTACAGGAAGAAGTACTGGTCTCATCTGCACTTTCCTTCATGTTCTTTTAAGACTTCTATTACACAAAAGTTGTGGTGATGACTAATATGACTCTAACTTGGTACATTAAACTCAAACACTGGCAGCTGTGCTAATGATATTATTTTTGTGCATGATTTCCTGCTATCTTGTAGTTGGAGTGGTTATGTTAGCCTTTAAGTGTTTTTGTCATATGGTCACTGCTTTTGTGATGGTTAGATAGTGCCTTACTTGTGCTCCCAGCAGATACAGTTCATTACACATCAAGATGTACCATTACACAAATCTTGCATTTTCAGCTTTCCTTAACCTTATTCAAACAAATCTATTTTTATATATCCTTGGGAATTGAAGGAGTGCTTTAATGTAACTGCTGGTTATCTCTGCTCTTTCAGTCTGGAATTGAGCTGTTTGTGAACAGGCTTGACTCAGTAGAGTCTGTCCTCCCCTACGAATACACTGCGTAAGTATATTACACCGTTTGTGCTCTTTTAATTGTCAGTTTTGCCAAAAAGATGGATTTAATTTACCTTATAGTATTATCTACTACTTACAGCAGTGTGCCACCGAGGCATGGCGATTTATTTTGCTAACCTAAGTTTACAAATAACAGAATTTTCAGTGAGCAGATGGATGCCTACATTGCTTCCTTTGTCTGTTTTCTGCTCATAACTTCAGTGCATGGATTTATAGGCCGTCATGCAGGTTGAATCGCTGTTGTAGTGTAACTGAAGGTTAAAATATGTGTGTATAAATATATGATACTTTACTGCATCAGTTGTCACTGTAGATCAAAGTATTGCCTCTGTCTTTAGTAGCCGATGCCAGATGAGTTAAAGTGGTAATGAGGTGCGAACATCCCATCAATTATCTTAATGAGGTGTTAAATGTTTTCTTTGTACACATCATAGGAGTGCACAAAATGTATCAGTGTCTGGTACAACTATGTAAAGTTTTTGCTATAAAGAATATTTTAACTGTTAATAATGAAGAGCTTAAGCACCAGTTATGTCTACACTTTAAAGAACACGAATGTGCTATTTTTAAAAACAGACTGGAAAAACGTGGAGGATGTGCTATTAAATGTGTTGGTGAATAAAACTGTAATAACCTGTTTAATAGTGTTTGTTGTAAAGGAGCTGTCTCTGTCTTTTTTATTTTTATTTTCCCTCAAATTCCGGAATCTGGCCTGCATGCTTTTTTCTGAGAGTCATTATTAAACTCTAGATGAAGATTTAATTCTTGTCTAAAATCCCTGTTCAAATAGGAAACTTCAATTACTCAAAGAAACTTGTGCTACAATGTTCTGAAGTAGCTGATGAAGAGACTTCAATGTTGGTTCTGTTTCATCTGGTTTCTTCTCAAACCAGGATAGTGATTTTCACACTTCACAGGTTAAATGAAGAAACTGTTATCTACAGGGAAAGCTGTATAGCTCCTTCACTTGTGATGAACATGTTGATTTGGGAACAATATTTGCAGCTGAGAATATTTTATTCATTTTTGTATATTTTCTCTAATTTAGGTTTGATTTTTGTCAAGCAGAAGGAAAGAAGCGTCCATCTGAAAACCTTGGCCAAGTCTTGTTTGGGGAGAGGATAGAACCGTCTCCTTACAGGGTTGGTTCTCTGACAGTAATGTGTGCATTCAAATGTAACCAAAGGAGATCAGAATCTTGAAGACGATTTTCACAAGGGCTTTATCTGAGAAACTTCAGCATCTGAAATTCCACACGATAAAAATCTGTCAGTTTAACATAATTGTAACTTGCAATGCTCTGCTTTGTGGGGCTGTACCCTGAAATGCTCTGCAGGTTATCTTCTCTCTTTGGGATCTGACCAAACCTGATTATTGCTGCTCAGCACTCCTGTTTCTTAGAACCAGATCTGAAAATATTGCAGCCATAAAACGGATGAATTATAAATGGTGTTAGCTTGCCGGTCTTTCCTGCTGACTGAAGCTCTCACATTCTCTTCTACAGAGGTAGTAGGAGAGAAAGTTACCAGTTGAAGCTGCCTGTGACAGCATGGCTGCTGAGAGGTCAAATGACTTATCTGGTCAATCATGACAGAAAATGTGTGCTAGTTAGTAACAAGGAGCTCTTCCTGTATGGCTCCTACAGGGAGCACAGGGAGGGGTTTAGAGCACACACCAATATAAAAACCTCCTCTGGAGGGTTGATGTACCTAGTCTCAGTAATTTTTTAGGTGTTTTCATTATAATAGTATAGGCAATGAAATGTATAGGGTAAATTGTTATGTACTGAAATAAGACAGTTTGTTACAACCTTTTTGCTCATGAGTCTTTCATTTTTCTTAGTTCACATTCAACAAGAAGGAGACATGTAAATCTGTTTGTACAAAAACATATGATACCACAAAGCCAGAAGACAAACAGAAATTAGACTTTTTGAAAAAAAGTATGCTACTGAATTATCAACATCACTGGTAAGTTGGTAAGTCTAAAATTCATAGATTGGTTAGTGTAGTATGTTGGTGATAATTTAGTTTATACTTTTGTATTTTCAAGTTAACACAGATGGAACACTAGATACGTGCGCTTAATATCTTCCTCTTCTGTTTTTGCATAAAATGTCATATTGTTTGCTATCTTCTTAAAAAAAATTCCATCACTTGAAGGATAGGCATGAAGAGCAATGGAAATGAATCTGTTTCTAAACACAAAGCTTTGTGCTTACTGTAAAATACTGCTGCTTTTTTTCACCTGTAAATATAGAAGTTAGTCCTTCCTTAGCTTGAGAAGAGTCTTACAGGGCCTTTATTCTGTTGCTATGTTGTCTTTGTTTTCCTTGAGAGCCCTCGCACTCGCCTTCAAATGCTGTGTCCAGGAGACAGGATCAACAGTTCTGAAAGACTTTTATGCAATGTTTGTTTCTCTTCTATGGATGTGAAAGGGAAAGGTGCCCAATGAAAACTAATTAAATAAGTAATTTTGAGGAATGCATAAAGGCTTGGTCCTTTCCTATTCTCTGGGGCCTCTCTGTAACCATCTGATTGACCTTGGAGCTCTGTTTGAGCTCAGACATTGAATCCTCGTTTGATGGGCATTAAGGGTGGTGCAAGGCTGAATGAGTGTGCTGAATCTCAGGCAGATATTCAGTTTCCCAACTCTGCACCCACATCCAAGAGCTGTGAAATGTTTATTAGCAGGCTCAGTCTTGACACTGGAAATGTCCCAGCCATGTTATCAGTGTTTATTTAGTGCTTTACATGTTGGCAGGCTCTGCCAACAGCAGCTTTCAGGTGCAAGAATAGAAGGAACAACTTGGGCATGAGTTCCTGAGGCATGTCTTAGCAAGGAAGGCATGAGCATCATTAATTTTTGTCACTCATAGGTATGCTCTAATTCCAAATATGGGCCTCCTGCTTTGTGGGAACAAATGTCTTCATCTATTTGGATTTAAACTTTTTGGGTACTTAAGTAAAAATGCAGGTTGAATGTTGCCACTGTCATTAACTGTTTTTCTGTAATGCTACGTTCTATTCCTTCAATTTTGAAACAGCTGGAAAGGCAACAAGTACATTTTCTACTGCTCTCAAGAACTGATATGGGAAATCCCTTTGTGGGGATAAACTGTGGTTCACTGATGTAAATGTTCTGGGAGCCTCTTGAAATTGAGTGTAGTAGGAATTTGATAGGTTATGTCAGAAGGGTTCACAGACAAGAGTCATATGTTCAGGTAGGTGAACAAGGAGACCATAAAGAAACTTTGAAATGTACAGCTACTTTTGCAGGGATTTGAAGTGTGTATGCCTAATGCTAAAAGAAGTGGAGCTTCAAACATGCTGGACTTGATTATATTCCTCTTAAATACTGCATATGTTTGTAATATTTGCACCACTTTGAATTTCAGTAATGCATGTGAGTCTGGCATAAAAGACTCAGCTATAAAAGGTTGTGTATGTTTTGGTGTGTAACTTAAAAATAGCTTCCCAAGACTACGAAGCTTGAAAGAAGATAATTTTTTTTTAGGAAAACCCATAACTTAAGCTGATAGAAGCTGAAACAGAGCTGTGTAAAATTAATCATACAAAAAAGTACTTCAGACTGGTTTGGGGTTTTTTTTCCCTGTAGATTAAATTGTTTAAAAAATATAAATTGTTAAAAAAATATACTTAGTGTATTCAAGTAGAGGTTTAAGTAAGATATAATTCTGTTTTTCAGTGTGAAAACTTCCCTTGAAATTTAGATTATTTCTTAATTCTTTTAATTGCATTTTTACTATATTTTTTTTTCTCTGCCCACTGCCCTAAAACTTAGGGACCAGTGAAAAATCCCTGGTTATGTCTGTTAGTCCTCCTTAGCCACAGCTTCACAAAGTGGCTGTGGCTGGATTTTGTGATTAATGATGCGTGCTCCAGGAGTATGGTACAGAGGTATGTTGTACAGGGATGAACAAGGTAGCATAAGTAGGATTCAGTAGAGGGTTATTATCCAGCTTCAATTTATCATGAAATTCCTGGGGAACACAGATGGTGCAAAATACTTCTAAGGTTTCAAAAGCCACTTAATAAGATTAGGAATTGACATACTGAATTGGACTCAACAGCTATACTGGTATCTTGGCTGACTGTTCATCACCAGATGTTCTTGAGAGACATATAAGAACACTGTTGAATAGCATATTTGCTCCACATGTATAATCTCTTCAAGTCATTTTAAATTTGAAGATTAGCTGTGAAAAATGATTTGCTTCTTAAACTACCGATTTGCTCTGGCATTGCTGCTGCTGCTTGAAGGCAGCTCAGGATGTCTTTGCTGCATAGATGCAAAGGAAAGTCTTTATCCAAACAAAACTTACTTGCAATATGTTAATGTTGCTTTGTTTTGATTAGGAGATGAAAACACTAACAAAAGCAAGCAATCTCTCTAGCATACATTATGGAGAGAAAATTTCAAATATACAAGCACAGAATTGATTGAGTTGGAAAAGACCTCTAAAATCATTGAGTCCAGCTGTGTGGTGGGTTGAGCCTGGCTGGACACCAGGTGCCCACCAAAGCTGCTTTGTCACTTCCCTCCTCAAGTGGACAGGGGAGGGAAAATGTAGCAAAAAGGTCACGATAAGGGTAGGGAGAGATCACTCATCAACTACTGTCATGGGCAAAACTGACTCAAACTGAGGAATTTAGTTTAATTTATTAGCAGCCAAATGAGAGAAGGGTAATGGGAAATAAACCCAAAGCTTAAAACTCCTTCTCCCCACCACTCCCTTCTTCCCAGGCTCAACTTCACTTCCAGTTTTCACCACCTCCTTTGCACAGAGGCGCAGGGAATGGGGATTGTGGTCAGTTCATCACACGTTGTCTCTGCCACTCCTTCATCCTCAGGACCAGGACTCTCCACGCCCTGGCCTTGCTCCAGTGTGGGGTTGCTCCCATGGAAGAGTTTTTAATGAACTTCCCCAGTGCAAGTCCTTCCCATGGGCTGCAGCTCTTCAGGAACTGCTCCAGTGGGGGTCCCTTCCATGGGATGCAGTCCTTTAAGAAGAGGCTGCTCCAGGTGTGGGTTTCCCATGGATTCACAGGTCCTGGCAAACCTGCTGCAGAGTGGCCTCATCTTTCCATGGGGCCACACGTCCTGTCAGGAGCCTGTTCCAGTGTGGGTTTCCCATGGGATCACAGCCTTCTTTAGGGCACATCCATCTGCTCTGATGTGGGGTCCTCCATGGGCTGCAAGCAGATATCTGCTGTGGTCCTCCTTGGGCTGCCCTGTGGTCCTCCTTGGGCTGCAAGCAGATATCTGCTGCCCTGTGGTCCTCCATGGGCTGCAAGCAGATATTTGCTGCCCTGTGGTCCTCCTTGGGCTGCAAGGGGACAGCCTGACTCACCATGGGCTGCACCACAGGCTGCTGGGGAATCTCTGCTTCTGTGCCGGGAGCATTTCTCCCCCATCCTTCTCCACTGACCTTGGTGTCTGCAGAGTTGTACATATTCCCACTCCTCTCTCCAGCTGCAGATGCTGTTGTGAAGAGTTTTTTCTCCCTTTTCTAATCTGTTTCCCAGAGGTGCTGCCTCTGGCCTTGGCCAGCAGGGAGTCTGTTGGAGCCAGTTGGCACTGGCTCTCTCAGACATGGGAGTTCTTACAAAAACAGTTGTTTGATGGCTTACAATTTTTTGGTAATGCAAATCATCTAATTAAAATGTTGCATACTCTTTGGTAGCTATAAATGAGGTTAATGATTAGGAATTCACTTAAACAGCAAAAAAAAAAAAGCTTTAAGAGTGCTATGAAAAATGTATTTTGCAATGAGGAAGCTGGAGAATTAATAATTTGTGAAGTAGGCTTTTAAAAAAAATTTTTGTTTTGTCTTAAACTTGAAATTGTCCATTTTAGCTGGTTCAGCAAATTTGATTATTTTGGCCATTATTTAAAGACAAAATAATAAGCTAAATTGTTACAAATTTGGACTGGGTGAGTTTTTGGCTTTGGGCTGTTTTTGCATGGGGACTTCATGAAGCAGTGCCATGAATAGAGTGGTTTCAGTTGAAGAGCTCCATGCTTGTAACTCATTTGGAACTTGGATTGGCAATCAGTGCAATTCCATGGATAGTATTATTCTTGTAGTTAATATTCCAGTAATGAATATAGCAAAGTAGATTAATGTTAATCTGGTTTTGTTTCCATTACACTGTGTATTTTGAAAAATGGTGAAGTGTCACTCTGTCATTTGCAGGATTGTGGACAACATGCCTGTGACATGGTGTTACGATGTGGAAGATGGCCAGAGGTTCTGTAATCCTGGTTTTCCTATTGGCTGTTACATTACAGAAGATGGCCGTCCAAAAGATGCCTGTGTTATTAATGTATGTTTATGCAATTATATATTTTTTAATATATATTACTTCTTACTAATTTAGAGACCAGCATTTCTCCTGTGTCATGTTTCTATGGTGAGTCCTTGCTATTTTAAGAACACGCGTTGCCTAAAGATAGGTGAGTGTTTTGGTCTCTGCAAGTACCTCAATTTGAAAGCCTGATCTAAGCCTAAGAACCTTGTCTCTTATGCTGCATAGTACAGAAGAGCTCTAAAAGATCAGGGGGTGAACATGCATAACATTCAGTACATGTGGAGGGTGAAGGTCATCCTTCATTGCCTAAGAAATGGAAATGTTTGAAGGCTTCGACTTGACATTTTTGTGGGATAGAAGTGTTTTCATGGAAGCAGATTTGCATAGGTGTGTTTGTACCTCTGCGTACTTTTGGAAGGTTTGCTTTTCCTAAAACTGGGAGCTGATGGAAAAAGATTCTCTTGTGATAGATCATACAGTGGAGATCCAGATAAGTGCACTGAAAGCATTATGGAGATAAGAAAGTCGAGGAAGTCTGACTACCACAGACCTCTTCCATGGCAAGGTCACTGAGAACTTGGGATAGGTTTTGGGGGTTTTTCAAAGTGGTTGGTTTTATTTAATCGATCTTACCAAAGAAAACAATTTCTGTGGTTGCCAATTTTGTTTAATTGCCTCCATAATGAGTTGGTTTCAGGGTCTCCATGTGAATGGATGCATTTACGATCAAATATGTAATCTGGCAATATTATTTTAATCTTATTTTAAGGCTTGTGTTTAATTAAAGAAAAATAACCTTTGAATAAATAACTGATGTACTGTAGAAGAACATTTCATTTATGTAACTATTCTTATAAGTGGGGCTGCTCTATAGAAAGGGTGAGGATAGAACACTTTAGAGGTTCTAACTGAATTTCAGTAGACATAACTGTTAAATTACTTGTGAGTTTAACAACCTCTTAAACTAACTAAATTCCAAGGTGATATTTCCCTTCACCTGAGGTTTGCATTCAGCATTCTTGGCTGCTGCTTGCTGTTCATCCCTGTGCATCTTTGATTTCAAAGGTTGTTCTGCCACAGAGAGCATTTATTTGCATCGTCTTGGGAGGTTCTGTTTAATTTCTGAAAAATAGACTCTTTGTTTTAAAATAGCTGATGCTTTTGAAATGCTTCTAATAACAAAAGTTGTCCCTTAGTTATCTATTCAGGTTGCTACTTAAATAAAATAGGACATTTTCAGTTAAATTGATTAATAAATATATATATTAAATATTTAAATTAATTTTTCTACTTTTCAATTTTACTAGACTGTTCTTAGCATTAACTTTTCTAACTTATGTTTTTAATGCAAGAAGGCACTTACTGTCTTTTTAATTTCCAGTATCTCACATTGATATTTTAGAACTTCTTGACAGAAAAACTATATGCAGTCTAAAATTCTGTTATGCAGACTTCTGTCTAAGGCTTTGTGATGTCTATATTTTTTGATTGTTTAATATAACCTTTTTTCATTGCAGTCAGAATTTCATGAAAAGGATACCTTTTATATTTTCAACCATGTTGACATAAAAATTTATTACCATGTTGTGGAGAATGAAGCTCTGGGAGCAAGACTAGTTGCTGCTAAACTTGAACCAAAAAGGTTAGTAGTTGAAAGTAACTTGTCATCAAAAAGTCATCCATCCCAAGACACTTGCTTTGATCTGGGAACCTGCTGCTAGTCAGAAATGCTTTCAGATATGTGACCTGCAGATTACCTCTCCTGTTGATTGATGTAGTGTAGTTAGGACAGTCTAATGTAATTTTGTAATTTGATGGACCTTGGTGCACTTTTTCCTACTTGGACCAAGAAAAGATAAAATAAAACCTGTAAGTGTTTGTGGGGTGTGATGACTGTGTGTGTGCGTGCATGTAGAACTCTAATAGAATTCCTACCAGGGAATATTCTGTCTTGTATCAGAACAGGACACCAGTGCCTGTTGCAGGCTTGGCTGGAGTGCAAGATTTGATCTGTTCAACAATCAGGATTTGTATAGAAAGATTTCACAGATACACTCATCAGTTGTCCTGGTGTCTGTGTGGCTTTTGCTCAATTGGTGTCTGTTGTGTTATTTCTTAGCATCTTGTCTTTCATGGTATAACTGAGCTTCTCGCATTGTTGGTTCAGTTGAAAGTATTTTTTCCTGAGAGAAGTTAGTAGTTCTGGTGGTGTAACTTTTAAAATGTTTTGGAAGTTCATAGCAATACTAAGGCTTCTTTCAATTTTGGTACTCTGCTTTAGAGACTGTGCTCTTTTTAGAAGAGACAAATCTTGTTTAAGAAGTTCAAGTTTCAAAAACTCCTGAGCTTAGGATATGTTCCTTATGAGTCCTGAAATTTATGAGACATTAAGTACAATTCTTATATTGAAGGGAAGAATCCTTGGTATGCTTTTCTAAGATGAATGAATTCTTTCTTAAGAATGTTGTCAGTGAAGTGGCTTTCATTTTGTGTCTTGTCTCCCTGCAGTTACAAGCATACTCATCCAGACAACCCTGACTGCTCAGGAGTGCCCATGGATATAAGTAATAAGGCCAGTGGAGAAGTCAAAATTGCTTACACATACTCAGTTACTTTTCATGTGAGTACTAAGATTTCTGTGGTGGTTACCTCTTAAAATCATGCATTAGTACTCTGAATTATAAAGATGGACAATTAAAATTGGCTCAGAGTAGTAAATTTGTAGTTTTAAAACTTTATTTGAACTGGAATGTCAGTGGTGGCTTGGGATTTGACCACATACATTGCAGTTTTGCATACCAACACACACAAAGTAGATGTGAAACACGTATGTGGTTTTTAAGAGTCACACTTTCCACATCTGCCTAGGTTGTCTGGTAGATTATTTTTCAATCCAAGTTCTTAAGTCTGAGAAATTGTTTGTTTCATGTAGGTAGGTTGAAGCTGATAGTTTTCTGCCCTTCTGCTGCAAAAGCTGCCTTCTCTTTAAGGTCTTCCTCCCCTGGAATCCTTCAAAAGAGTAGGAAGCTGGTAGTCTTTGTTCTACTACTCTCTATTTAAAAGCAGAGGAGCAGTATATCAGGCAACTGCAGGCAGCAATGATAGCTGAATGTTTCTCATTCTGCTGACAAGAGAGGGAGGTTTTGGTTTTGTTTTGGTTTTCCGTAGATGGAGTTTGCTGGACAAACTGTTTATCAAAGTTCCCTACTCCTTCTCAAACTGTTTCCACTCTGAGTTCAAAATACAATAAATAGTATAAGAAATACACTCAGGAGGGATTATATTATGTCTATACTATATAATGATATTGGAGGGATTATATTATGTATATACTATATAATGATATTTTCAGATATTATATCAGTTGTGGTGCTGAAATGAATTTGTATACCGAAAAGCAAGTATTTCTGGAAACCTGTGAGAAGTTAGTAATTAAGAGTGACCTTAGCTTCATATTATTTTATTGTTTGGCCTTAAAAATGACATGCCCAGCTGTGTGTGTGCACCTGTCTTGTGCACAGTGTTATATCAATTGGAGGTAATCTTCTGAATTTCTGTTGGGTTGGCAGACCAGGTCATCTCAGGAAGAGAAAAAAAAGGCAGTTTAGGTATGAGGAAGAATGCAGTTCTGTCCTAGAGTCATTGATACTGGTTTAGAAATTTGTTGCTTCCTTTGAGACATGGTTTTATTATCTCAGTGAACTATATATGTGATCTTGACTACATTTTTTAACCCATTGGATTTTTTTCAAAATCTGGCTTTACTGGAAAGCACTCTTGCTCTTGCATGTTAGAAATTACTGAAATAACAGCCTGTCAGACACCTAGCCAGTTTTGTTAATTGGTTTGTTTAATAGCCATCTTCACCTTGATTAACACTGTCTATTCCTTTTTTCCTGTTTACTCCGCAAAATAAAACAAAGAAATGTTCTTTTTGAAGTGTTTTTGATCAATGAATGTTCATTTTGAATAAGTTTAATCTGTTGAAATGCCTGGAGGAATAATTTGCTTCCCTCTGCTAAATTCTGTCTCCCCACCTGTCCTGCAGTAAAAGCTGTTTGTAATGGGATTGGTATTTGGTACTGAAATGAGGTTGTATGAAAGCAAAGGATAATTTGGACAGAGCATGATGTAGTGAGTGAAGTATCATCTGGAGACTGTATAGCATAGCTTAGTTTCTTGATACATGGACTTACATGTGCTAAAAAATCTATGTTCTTTCATTATTCTGCTAGTCCATTCCAGATGAACCAATACAGTTCTTGAAGGGAGGGTGCACAATTAAATGAATTTGGTAAGCCTTAATGTCTAAAGAAGACGCAAGTGCTCAAATTCAGAAAATATTTTGGTTTAGATTCTATGGTCAAATCTTAGGTTTGCTCTAGGTAGCCGTTATTGAAGTATTCCCTGTAAAGTATGAAACTTGAAATTTCAATTAGTCACGAGATTTAAGATTCCTTTGCACAAACATCAGCTTTCAAATGTATGAGTTGGATACTGACTGTATCTGATGTTCATGTGTTTACTCTTTCAGGAAGAAAAAAATATCAGGTGGGCATCAAGATGGGATTATATTTTGGAATCCATGCCTCACACTCACATCCAGTGGTTTAGGTAAGGAGGAAATTTATTGTACTGCAGTGTTTACATTGCAGTGTGAATGATGATTTTCATTAATTTTCTTTTTTTCTTTTTTTTCTTTTCAGTATTATGAATTCCCTGGTGATTGTCCTCTTTCTGTCTGGAATGGTAGCTATGATTATGTTGAGGACACTCCATAAAGATATTGCAAGATACAATCAAATGGATTCCACTGTAAGTCTAAAATGTAGTTCCTAAAATTTATTTGGAATGTAATTTTTCCAGTTAAATGTATAGCTGTAACAGGCTATTTAAGTTGTAATCTACTGTATTAAAATAGATGTACTTCCTTTACAGGAAGATGCTCAAGAAGAATTTGGCTGGAAACTGGTTCATGGTGATATTTTCAGGCCCCCAAGAAAAGGAATGCTGTTGTCAGTTTTTCTAGGCTCTGGCACACAAATCTTAATAATGACTTTTGTTACCCTGTGTAAGTAAAGTGGGGAGGATTTAGTTGATTGTACATGATTTTTCACTGCTAACGGCACGGTGCTAGTAAAAATAGCAGTATCATTTTTTCTAGAAATTTCATTAAAGTCATTAGAAACAGCTGAGCTGATGTAGTAGACATGCAACTTAGTACACACAGATTGTAAGATAACTGATGTACTGACTTTAAGTCAAACATATAGTCTAAGGTTTCTAACATCATTTCTAAAATTGTGCATCTCTGCTTCACAGTTTTTGCTTGCCTGGGATTTTTGTCACCTGCTAACAGGGGAGCTCTAATGACCTGTGCTGTAGTTTTGTGGGTGCTGCTTGGAACTCCAGCTGGTTATGTTGCTGCCAGATTCTACAAATGTGAGTAATAGTTATTGAAAATGACAAGGCTTAAGTTCATTAACATAAACTATCATTACAGAACTGATTTTTATTTCACTGCACTGTTTGTAGCTTCCCTTAGGGCAACGTGGGGAAATGTACTTTCCTTAACAACAGAATATACATATATAGAACACTTAATATAGTTACACTGGTTTTGATGTAATCATGCCTAAAGACCCTGAATTGCTCTTGCTGCTGTGCATTTGTGAAATTAAATAATAGTAGTACTAAGGTCATTACATCTTCACATCAGACTGTTTTCTGCTTCTGTTTCCTGTCACTGTGGGGACTGTGTAAACCTGCATTGAGTTTTAGTTGTGGATGTTGCTTGGTAACACACACCTGCACCCCCAAATTGTGAACCTCAGTTCTTGCATGCCTGAGATTGGTGACCTCTTTTTAGCTAGCTCCCAGGTATTTTGGAGAATAATGCTTATTGGACTGTGGCTGGAGCATGGGGAGAAGGACTGTTCTGTGGTTGTAGAAACCAGCCCTGTGGTGTCTGGGCCCCTGACAGGAGTTAGTTGATACTGTTCTCCCTCACTGATCCCAGCTATTGTTTCAAGACCTGCCTGTCTGCCAGCCTCAGATGGTTTACCCCTTTATCATCTGATTTATTTTAAGGTGAAGAAGCATGGCATTCCACATACAGTTTGTTTTAATTACCTTACTCAAGGTGAAAGGTTTTTTGACTTGAGAGAAACGGATCTTTTGAACTACTTTACTTGTGAATATATGGGGCTACAGGAGAAGTTTATTTCAGAACTTCAGCCTGGCAGTAGATACTAGAGATCTTCCTTCTTACCATTTTGTAGTTTTCACGTGGGGAAAAACTGTGGGAAAAGTGAGTTTGTATCTTGTAGGGAATTTTTTGCATAGTGGTGGTGACATGAAAATGAAGTATTCCTAATATCCAAGCCAGTTAAGACTTAAACAGAAGAAAATTTTAGTACTAAGAGCATAATTGAGGATAGAATTATTCTTGATATTGTGGTGTATACTGTGTGTTTTGAAGGATATTTTGAAGTGTATTAATGGTAAATTGAATCCTATGTCTTTGGTGGAAATGTAGTTTTTAAGGATAAAATTTAATATTTTATTTATTGGTAATCACTTAGTTGATACTTGAATGTTGTGTTTAATTACTAAGATAGTGAATGACTGATCTGGAGATATTTTTGTTGTTATAACAGGAAGTGGTTTTTACCCTGCATTAGAGCATGTAAACATGAATGGGGTTTTTTTAATAGTACACAAATAATGTGATGTATAAAACAAAATGCAGTTGAAATGGATATCCAGTTTTAAAAGTTGGGTTTTTTTTCAAAATTGCATTTAAAAAGTGAAACATGAGTTGAAATTAAATGGTTAATCTTAATAACTGCTGTCACATTCTACCAAGTTTTTATGAAGAAATAGAAACTTAATTAAAATCACTCTAACCATAATCACTTCTGACTCTTGAAATAAAGAAGCGTGTCATTATGGCAGTGCTCAGATGAAATTATCTGCTTCACTGCACTCCAGCAGGATATTTTCATTTGAAAGTATATTGACTAGAATTTTTATCAGCATAGTGCAAATTCATAAAGATTTTCTTAAAAAAGCTATCTTTGGTCTTTTGGTATCACCACTGCTTAATGCTGTTAAGACTCAAGAAAACATCACTACTTCTGTAAGCGTGTTAGTTCTGACTCTTCTGTAAGATTCATAGGCAAGAATTATTTCAAGAAAACTGTTAAGCTTGGTTTTCACATATTTATATATCTTTACCTACTGAAACCTGCAGTCAAATGCTGGAAAGCTTAAATTTCCTAATCACTCCAGGTTTAAAACATTTTTTAAAGATTTAGAAATATTGCAAATCTGCTCCCTCCTTTTAGTAGATAAAGTCGTCAGAAACACAGTTTTAGTTGGATACCTTTCCTGACCTTGGTCTGAGACGTTTTGCTTTGAAGTTCTGTGGTTAAGCAATAGGATAAGGAAATCCAATTTTATTACTGAATATTTAGTTTACTGGTTTTGGGCATGATAGCACATTATTTGAGTATTTGCAAGCTAAGTAGAACAGGTAAATGGACTGGAAAATTAATAGTTGAACTTAATGCATGTTTTAATGTCTGTCAAATGTTTTAATATACAGCATTTGGAGGTGAGAAATGGAAAACAAATGTCCTGCTGACATCATTCCTTTGTCCTGGGTAAGTTGAGAATATTGTCATGATTAAGAGAATTAAATTGCATCTCTGATGTGCATAGCTAATTTTTTAGGTTTCAGCTATACAAGTAAATCTTACATTGTCCCTTTATTCCGGGAGCTACGAGAGTATCATGGTACTTTTGACAAAGATGAGTAGGTTAGTGGCATATCATCCTTTGATTTTTTTCTTTTTTTTTTTTTTTTTTTTGGTAAGCATTTGTTTACTCTCACCACATGAAAAGGTTGATTAGGAAAAAGCATTATAGTAATAAGTTTGAGGCCCACTTTTTCATTGTTTTCTTTCATTCTCTGGACTGCACTATTCTGACTGCACTGTAATCAGTCTTATATAGTGTCATATAATGTATAACCACTCTGATAATTTTTTCCACTTAATCACAGCAAGCAGTCTTACCCTGAAGTGTAGTTAAGACAAGCATATATTTGAAATAGCTTAGTTGGAACGTCAGTGCCTGCTGGAGTTCAGTCCCACTAGATTAACAAAGAATTGCTTGTCTGATCTCTTTGTTTTCATATTTTGTGTGTGTCATTTGGTTTTAGCAGAGATTTATGCTAAAATCTCAAAACAGTGCCATTGTTTTGTCAAGGTTACTGAATGTTCAGAAGTATTTCTGTGCTCTAAGTGTGCTCTGTGTTTTTCAGAATTGTATTTGCAGATTTTTTTATCATGAACCTTATTCTCTGGGGAGAAGGCTCTTCAGCAGCTATTCCGTTTGGTACCTTGGTTGCTATTTTGGCACTCTGGTTTTGCATATCTGTACCACTGACATTTATTGGTGCCTATTTTGGGTTTAAGAAAAACGTAAGTGTTTCTGAGAATTTGTTTTTTTAAGTATATACATACATAAACACACAAATATTTGTCTCTGTATAGGCCATGGCTGAGGTAGCACCTTAGCTAGTTGCACTGTTGGCTCCAGTTCAGTTCAGTTGCTTTAGAACTGCCTTAGAGAACCAGTCTTGGTATTCCAAGGCTGTGACACATGGTTGGTGGCAGTGATATTTCTCTGCAGCAAATTGGGTTGTCATTCTATTTAATTGAGTGACTGCTACAGATAAATAAGTGATATGAGCATTTTTATTTTAATTAGCATCTTTTTCATAGACTAAAACAAGTATTTGACCCAGCAAGCATGAGGGAAAGCAAATTCTGCATTTCTGGGTTTCGTCATGTATTTCTTGTTCCTGTCTGCCCTCTACACTGAGGATGTTTCCTGATCAAATTGCTAGAGTTCTGTGAAATCTGTTTGCATAAGTGTTCTGTAAATGGTTATCTCTGCTTGGCAGACATTAATTGTGATTTACTCCTAAACTAATCAATTTTACATATTTTTATGAGGGCTCTTTGTGACCAAACATTTAATAATTTGGTGACCAAATCATTAAATAATGAGATTCGTTCTTTTTTTCTTTTTTTTTCTTAAAAAACTATTTACTGTCCCCCACAAATAAATTTCTATAAGTGCAGATACATTTGTAGGTTTTCTCCTGCATAGGAAGCCAGGATTCTGTCTCTCTGTAGATCTCTTTTAATACCTTCAGAGAATATTGTTTTAGTAGGCTCTTTTTAATTCAGTGGTTTTTTTCTGATAACCATGTTGAAATTCCATCGAGTTCCCCTGCATTGTACAGGTGTGTACATCTTTTAAGGAGGAAGGAAGGTTTGATAAGCTAATAAGGCAATGTGGTAGGTGTCACAAAAACTTGGAAATCAATTTAGAAAGGAAGTATCTGTTGATGTTTTTGATGTAATTATTATGAAAGCCAAAAGATAGAGAGTATGCATGTATCTTACAGTGCTTTACGTTGTTTTCTCTCACCATGCTGATCCATGCATGTGTCTTGAATTAGGATTAAATTGCCAGATCGAGTCCTTTCAGTAAGTTTATCCTAGTGCAATTTTAAAGTAAATCCTGAAAGACAGCACCCAGGAATTTTTAGAAGGTGAAAGCAGGAATCTGCACCACCACTACCCCAGCTGAAATATGGTAAATCAGCTCAGGCTCTGTAACAGATGGGCAAACATTGAAAGGGAAGTCCAAAATATCTGTCACTATGTTTTCAGTAAGAGCTGTCTTTTAGCAAGTTTGCCAAGCAAGTGTTGGTAACCGAGCTGGAGCAAAAGCAAATGTAGCGTAGCTGGGTATGCACATGCTCAAAATAAAGAGTAGAGTTTGTGCCACCACTCATTACAAAAAGAAAGCAGAAAAGTTTGATACTTTATTTATTTAACTGTTTGTTATTTTTGTTAAAAGGCTATTGAACACCCTGTTCGCACAAATCAAATTCCACGTCAGATTCCTGAGCAATCGTTCTATACAAAGCCATTACCTGGTATTATCATGGGAGGGATTCTTCCTTTTGGATGTATCTTTATACAGTTGTTCTTCATCCTCAATAGTATTTGGTAAGTTCACCATAAATTGGATTTTCTCTGTCATAAAATCTTTCTTTGTGAAGGTTTTTCTTTAAGATGTTTTCCCTGATTATTTGGGGATGCATTGTTACCATACTGGTTCAATAATATTTAAATGTTAATATCTTTTTTATGTTTTAATAATACTCGGTGCCTGTTGTGCTTGTTGGGGTGTGCAGAGAGGTGGCTGTGATATGCTTAGCAATTTACAGCTGACCTACCTTCAGATAGTTTGTTGTTTTCTCATGCTACTCTTGCGACTTCATGTGGAAGTGGCTCTGAAGCTGATATATAGCATATAACTTGACAGTAGTAAAGTTTATTAAAATAAACTTGAGATTTTTTTGGTAGTTGTTATTAGGCTAGAAAAGTATTACTATTCTTGGGATGAAAAAAAAGAACCAAGAACAAATTCTTGTGAAATCTTTATTAAAAAAGAATAATGATTTTTAAAAAGAAAGCCCCATAGACTAGTGCAGTAGAAGTGAATTTTGATGTGAGCTCACTGACAAACTAATCTACTGTGAGGAATTTGTCTTCCTTCTGGCACAATTTAGTTATTGGATCTTGTTAAACTGTTTCTGAACCTTGAATAGGTGCCTCTACCCAACACAGACAGCTACAGCATTTGACATTTCTTGTTATTTTGGAGCTTTGCCCCTTTGATTGAAATGTGAGGTGAAATCTAGGTTCTTCTGAAGTCAGTGGAAGAGGTCATGCTGACTTCACTGGAACTGTGATTTCACCATTATGTTTAGTCATTTATTTCTGTAAAATCCCAACCAGGGGCATGCTTTGGCCTTGCTCTCTCAGTGTTCTCAGACCAAGCTGCCAAGGTTGCTGTTCTTTAGTTAGAAAATAAATTAGTCAATTGTATGGCTGCACAATTGACAGTTTCAATAGGAAGGGAAAATACTTAAGGTGAAGGTGATGTTACTACCTATGAAGAAATAATAATAGCACAATGGCCATTTAAATTTTTTTTTAACTCCCTTTTATAGGTCCCACCAGATGTATTACATGTTTGGCTTCCTGTTTCTGGTATTCATTATTTTGGTTATTACATGTTCTGAGGCTACAATATTGCTCTGCTACTTCCATCTATGTGCAGAGGTAGGAAATATTTCCTCTGTTTTCAAACCTGATAATGTTCTAAGAATGCTTCCAAAAATGTTAATGCTTTTGTAATTGAAAATAAGTATTCCAGAATTCAGCATGAACACTAGTGCTAGATGAGATGTACTTAAACCATGTCTTTAAAAAGTGAAGCAGGCTACTTTTGGCAACTCTTGTAAGAAATATTAAAACCTTGCACTGGGTATTGCTGAGTCAGATGTCACATCTTTAGATTCTCACTCCCTGTTTTCTGAAGGTGCTAAATTAATCCATTAATTTTGTTCAATCAGAGTGCATTTCAGACATGCCCAGCCTTGGGAAAAAAAAAATCTCTGTGGCTGGAAATAAGTACACCTGGCTTATTTGGGATTTTAGTATTTTGTGTATTTGCTATTGATCTTAAGGTTACTTATCTCTAATTTTGAATGATGTAATTAAAGCAGTATTGGTTATATATAGTTCTTCTCCCTCTAGATAAAAAAACCCTACAAAAACTTACTTTTGGATAAAGTCATAATAGAGAAAGTAGCTCTGCATTCCCTGATAGGATCAGTGGGCTAGAGGTGTACACAGTATTTCTCACCCATTTGTATTTTCTCTCACTCTAGGACTATCACTGGCAGTGGCGTTCATTTCTCACTAGTGGCTTCACTGCAGTTTATTTCCTAATATATGCAATACATTATTTCTTTTCTAAACTGCAAATCACAGGAACAGCTAGCACCATTTTATACTTCGGTTATACCATGATTATGGTTTTGATCTTCTTCCTTTTCACAGGTAAGTGTACTGAACCTGAATTTTAAATTTTGAATCTGCCTTTAGTTTTGCACAGTAGAATCCTTGGCAAAACTGATCTTGATACAGAATTATAAATTTATGTATGCCTTTGATTTTTTTCCAGGTGTAGCATATTGCAACTATGTGCTTACAAACTTTAATAAAAGAGATAAATGAGGATGAGGCAAAACTACTGCTAACTTGAAGTGTGGCCTATCATTAGGTCTACAAATATGTGATAAATATTTGATAATACATGATTTTATTTTTATGATAGTCATATGACAAACTCAGTTTTTAAAAATAAGTTGTCTTTGGAAAAGCACACTTCAAATCACACACAATCAAGTATAAAGTTTACAGTGTCAAGATAAAAACAGCAGATTTTTTGGAATAGCTGGAAGGAAGAGAGAGGAATAAAGGTAGACAAAGAATGCCTTTTTTTAAAATTTACTCTCTTCCGGAATGTATTTACCTGTATCCCAATTGCATTGAAGTGGCATGGGAAGCAGACAGAATTTCTCTAACTTTTTTTTTATCAGACTTGTCACAACCTTGTAATCTTCATTGTGAGTGTTCGGAAAATACATCTGTCCTTAGGTGCTGCATTTCAATTTCCTCTTCAGTAATAGAGATGAGGTCACAAAATTTTCCATTGTAGTCTTCAGTCAGACAGAAATAGCCCTTGTTTAGGGTGGGAAAATGGCAGTGAAAATGCAAGAAGTCTCCTTTCAAACTGATGCAAGAAAGCAGCAACTGCCAACTCCTCAAAAATCTTAAAAATTCTGTGTTCTGCTGCAGCAGAATGCAGTCCTGGTATACTCTGCCCTACAGAGCAGTACTTCTGAGACTACTTTGAACTGATCAATGGTTTAAATAATTTCAGGCTTCATGTTGATGATGACTTTTAATGATTCCACAGTCTTGGATATGTATGTGTATAGACACTATCTTTTGAGGCCTCATAGACTACAAATGGCTTGTCATCAGAGCTTTTAATAAAAATCACACTATGACTTTTAAGTAGAATTTTCATTTCCACTTAACCTAGGAGAACAAAAATAGTGAAAGAAGAAAGAACTAAGAATGGTGTTCATTTTAAGTATAACTGAATATTTCAAAGACATGTCCACTTCAGCTAAGAAAATATTGAAGCTGTTTGTGGATTGAATTCAGATGATGATGAATGGGAGCAATGGCCTGCAAGGATTTTCTTGGGTCATTGCCTGTTTAAAAGGAAGAAATGGGACTTGAGTGCATTATATAATCTCACTGAAAAGTGATCAAGCTGTATCCCAGAAGTGGTCAGTTTTATCTTCCATCCTTCATTTTAAGTCAGTCCAATGTATTTTGGCATTGCTTGCCGATAGTTTGTAATTTATGCATCTCTGCTTTTATTCACATTTCTGTACCAGTTTGCAAGTCATTCTGAAATGCCTAGATCAGAGATTCTGCCTCCCTTGCTCAGGTTTTCTTCTTTCTCACCTTACTTTTCTCTTAACCTTTACTTCTGGTCTGGGTGTACTGATAGTTTCATTGAACTAAAAAATCCTAGGATGTGTGGTTGTTCAACTGGAAATGAATGTGTACTGCTGTATGCAGATCAACTTTAAATGCAGTGTAGACTTACAAAGTAGTGTGAAAAATAGTAAGGCTTTACAAAAGTGTAAAGTCAATTAATTTAGTTTCATCAGCTTTTCCAACAGATGTTCAGCAAGTCTGCCTGTAATAGTAAACAGCTTTGCCCAAAACCAGAATTGTGTTTACCCTGTCTCCTTTGTTCACTTTGCATGTGTGCACTAATTCTGGAGCAGATTCATTCAAGATAAAGGGGATTTACAATAATTTTCTGTGCTGAGACATGGTTTAGCTGCCTTTTGCATCTCAGACACCCATATAATTTCCATCTTTTGCCCTTATTCTTTCAAGTCAGTCATGTCACATGGCATTGTCTAGAGGCATTAAGATGTGTCCACTGCATCCCCTTTTTTCCTTTGCTCACGTGTTCACTTTCAGTTGACCAAGTGGCTGTACAACACCTGTCAGCAAATTTTTAGGGTAGGTTCATAAGCTTGCAAAGATGAGGTGGTTTATTCTCATCCCCTTTCAGCTGCTTTTTGTGGCAGTCATTTGTTTGTAATTGGGACAGTGGAAATGCAAGTCATCCTGTGCAACTAGAACTCAGTTTTCAGTCTGTATGCTCTTTGTTTTTTAGATTTTCAATTTCTATGTTGAAATCAGGGGAAGTTACACTTGAGGTAATTAATTACACAGAATTGTAAAACACTGTGCTTAACAATTTTTTATCTAATTCCCTCAAGATTAAGTGCAAATTACCTTTTAATTTGGGGAAATAATCCTGTTTCTTAAGATTTGAGAAGAATTTTGTCCATTTAGGTTGATACGAATGTAAATGCAGTTATGTTCAGTTCTCTGAGATTTACTGAAGTGCTCGGAGATAAGGATTTACAGAAGAAATCAGAGGTTGGGTAAAGGTACCTTTTTTTTTTTTAAACAAAAGAACATATTAGCAATTTAGCAAAAACTGCTCCCAAAGGCAACTGACTTCCCATGTCAGGATGATAAAAAAGCTAAAAAGAAAAAGTCATAATTGTTGTATGAAAACTATTCTGCTGCTGCTTACTCATCTGTGAAAAATTGTCAGGATGGGGAGGAGGGTTTTGACGATGCCCTGCTGCTATGTCAGTGTAACACATGCTTCAGGCACTTGCATCCATACTGCATTCCAGGTCATTGATCAGACTCAGCAGGCACAATACCGGGAGCTACATGACAAATCTTTGATTCACAGCTGGGATCACAACTACGTATCATAGTAAATGAATCACTTAAACATCAGTAGTTTAGCAAGCGTAAAGTGGAAAAAAAAATGACCATGATATCATTCATGGTTCCTTTCAAGCTTTGATAGACAACAAGTTACCACACAACTTTTGTTGCCCCTCTTACCAAATCTAAAACAAAGGAAGTTTTTTTCCTCTAAAGAACTTCTTTGATGCTTGTATAAGTTCAGGATATAATTCTAGAAGAGGTACTTGGGCAGAGATCAGATAATCTTCAGGGCTTTTTTCCTGTCCTAGTTTTTGTGGGAAATTAAGGTTCCTGTAACAGGTGTTCTGAGCTGCTGTTTAATCCAGTATCATTCTGATTGAGACTGAATTTTGATGTAATCCAGTTAGATTAACAAAGCCCAACTATATTAACTATTTCACATTCAAAATAATATTTTTGTGAAAAGTTTCTTTTGGAGTTACACAAAAAGAAGGGATGAAGCCACTGTTTTTTTTCTGCTAGCAGGATAAATAATTAGGGAAATTATTTTCATCCTCCAATTTTAGTTCAAATCTGTGTGTACCTTTTGACTGTCGTAAGTATTTCAGAAGTGTTTATTTTTAAGGTATGTAACACATGTTTTCAGTAGGACTACAAGTTGTGTAGTAACTACACTATGGTTTGAAATTTGTATTACCTCAGTCTGTGGAGAAATAAAGGTGGTGCTCTAGTTTTCCAAGACCTTAAAGTATTGCTAAGTAATGGGAACTCTGATGATGTTATTATGTTTATTAAACATAATAACAATGTTCTGACAGCTGAGCAGATGAGATAAAGTGTGTGTGAGTAGTCACTGAGAAAGGGTGAAATGGAGCAGTGTGAAGGAGTGGGACTGCAGCATACTGGAACAACAAGAACAAAAAAGTAAACAGAAACATCTTACTACTAGAGTGTTCCACATGATCTATTCTGTGCTCCTGAAAATAATGAGAGGTTACAGAGTAGTTGATGCCTTTAAGGTCTGAGTACTGTCTGTAACTTTCCATTATCTGATGTGATTGATGTACTGAAGGCTAAGGACAGCAGATCACATATACATATATCCTGACTTATAAACTATGGATAGAAATTAATGTCTCCTGTGTCAGTGTTCTAACACATCATTTTCTTTTTTCTCTCTTTTAGGGACAATTGGATTCTTTGCATGCTTTTGGTTTGTAACCAAAATATACAGTGTAGTGAAAGTCGACTGAAGAAAACGATGTAAAGAGTTAACAGAGAAGAGGTTTAATCTTCATTAACCTAACTTAAAAACCTGGTCTTGTTGATGAACTTGAGCTTTATCAGAAGTATTGGCTTCCTGTTCTTTGAGAATGATACTGAAATGCACCTACTTTTCCACTAACACGTTTGTATTGTGACTTAACAACCTGTTTTCATTCAAACCTTAATGAAGATCAGAATTACAATATTTATGCATTTGTAAATACAACTATACTTTGAAAGAAATGTTAAATTCTAATGGCAGAATAGAAGTGGCTGTATTACACAACTTAATGATACTTCTGATCAAAGTACAACTGTAAATAGGTTTTTCTAGCTTGGTAGGTGGGATGATTTATTTTTCTTTGAGGGAAATGAGAACTTTTTATTATGCTAACTTTGAAGGATGACTCTTTAAGAGGTGTTGCTTTTAGTCTGGATGTGATTTTTATTTTTTACTGGTGTTACGTCCATAAATATTCTGATTTCTGTGACTTAATTAGTTTTGGTGTTCTTGGCCTTTTAAACTATGTGCCTCTGAGTCCTTGAATTTATAAATTCATAATCCAATAAACGTTGTAAAAATGTCTTCATTGACTTATTACATATTAGAAGTTCATAAAAATATGTAAATACAATTATATTGAATACAGATGCTTAAAGATTACATAGAGTATTTTATGGCATTTTCTATGGTTTAATGTATATTGACACACATTTAGATCTGCAAGAATTATTATTTGTGCTAAATGGCTATAACATGGACATGTGATTGTGGCGCATGGGAACTAAATTATACACCCATTTAACAAAAGCTCTCTGCAGCATTAATCCAGTCCTTCACCCAGAGATTGCTATGGGGTTGTCACTATGTTGAGAAGATCTTACAAGGCATGAGTCGGCATTCTCTGCTGATCTTGCTTTTAGATCTCAATGATGCATATTCTAGAGAACAACTATTGCTGACTGTACTTAATGTAGGTTAAAAAATAAAAGAAAATTACTATTTTTGCCTTATATTAAAAGACTAATGTCAATTTTGGATGACTGGCATTAAACCTATATTTGCCTTTTTTTGGAAATGGAGTATTTTGTTCATGCCTTGTTTGATTTTAGATTTTAGTTTTAGTTTCATAACACAGTTTGACTGGTAAAATTTTATTTAAAATTAAACTTCATATACCAATTGCCATTCATAAGGTTGGGGGGGGTTATTCTTACCAGTTTACTTTTCTATAGGACCTTAACCTGATGATGCTTGAATATTGGACCCAATAAAAATATCCTTGGTTAAGGTAACTTGTCATTATTAACCTCCCAAAAGTTGGCACATCAAGGCTTCAGGAGGCATTCCCACAATTGCAGTGCTCCACATCCCTTCCCAGATGAACCACAGCACTTGTGCTCTGCCTGTTGCCAGACACAGCTCTGCTCAGATGGGCACAGGTTTGTTCTTGTGCCCCTCCCAGCATGTAGTCACTAGGAAATCCTGATTTTAGGTAAATCTTCCATGCTTTGTGTTCAAAAGAGGAAAAGGGTGAGTATGGTAAGTGTTTGCTCTTTGCTACTGCAGTGATCTGTAGTATGACTCTTGATTAAAATGTTTAAAACTAGAATAGTCTTCATATCCCTGGTTTTGTGACCACCTACTGTAGAGTCACTGCCTGAAATCACCAGTAGTTTTTACACAAATAGGGATACTTAGTTTGAGAAACATGAATCAATCGTCTGCTATTGAAATTCAAATTCAAAAAACCAGATTTTTGTGATGTATTTACAATTGCTGTTTAAAAAAGATTAATAGAAGTTAGATGAAACCACTGTGGTGTATATGTGGGTTTGAAACTGATGGGTGTATTTTCCTGGGGATTTTTCTACAGACTAGTTGACAATTCATGGCAGCTTCTCAAGTATTTTATTTCCAGCTCTAAAGGCAGTCTGTGAAATGTGTCAGTATCTTCTGGAATCTGAACCTGCTGCATACACAGCTTTTCAAGCAGCCTTGCCTTATAATAATTGCAGCTGTTTTGCAATTGCAATGTTTCAGTATGGACTACTTCAGTGTGAGACAATTCAGAAAGTTTAATACATCACAGATTTTACAGAAGAGCTGTTCAAAAGTTGTTTTTGCCCTTGTAACACTGCCTCAGATAATTTTACATGTTTTTCTAGAATTTAGGCTTTTGGTCTGTGTTAAGGCATTTAAGCATTCTACTGTATACTGTATCTGTTTTCCTCTTGGGAGACCTGTTTTTTTGTCTAAACTTTCAAAATACTGAGCTTTTCCAGAAACTTAATGTATTATCCAGTATTTTCTTAAATTGCACTTACAGCATGAAAGTCTGAGAAAATGTAAATTAAAAGGAGGGTTGAGGTAGTGTCACAGACATCTTTTATGAAAAATCCTTTCCTTAGGATTTTTCCTCCTGAGAAGCTGAGAGGCCTCAGGAACAAAATGTAAACAATGGTTATCTGCTGCTGTGGAATGCAACTGGTGGATCTGTGATTGGCCCATGTTGTTGTTTCTAATTAATGGCCAATCACAGCCCAGCTGGCTCGGACAGAGAGTCCGAGCCACAAGCCTTTGTTATCGTTCTTTCCTATTCTATTCTTAGCTACCTTTGTGATGAAATCCTTTCTTCTATTCTTTTACTATAGTTTTAATATATTATATATAATAAAATAATAAATCAAGCCTTCTGAAACATGGAGTCAGACCCTTATCTCTCCCCTCATCCTAAAACCCCTGTGAATGCTATCACAAGGTAGGACAAACTGTTGAGCTGTAGGAAGACAGGGCAAATTTGGACAAAACACAGAAGTGTCAATTTTTTGGTGGCTGATAAATAATTTTAAAACTTATTGTTCAGAGTCTGAAAAGAGTGGCCATCACTGTCAAATTTAGTCTGAAAGGAATCCTTAGTCCAAATCATACTTTGAAAATGTGATATGGGAGTTGGTGTCCTGATTTTCTTTCCCTAGAAGAAATAACAAAGCAGCTTTATGGCAAGCTGTCACTCACCATGGCAGGCTCATCTTTAGCTTCTCTTCTTATTCAAAGGTTTGGCTGTGTTTGAACACCTGTGTGAGCCCTCAGGTTTCTGTGGTCATAAAAGATTGTGTGAGCCCTCAGCTGCTTGGCTGGATCTTGTAAGCAATGTTATAAATATTAGTTGACTGTGAACCAGTCGTAGTGTCTTGATGCTTTTTGTGCCATTTTCAGGCAAAAGGCAGTGAGAAATGACTTCAGGAAAAGTCTGGAAGTGAGGACAAGAGGTAAAATTACAAAATTCTGGCAGGCACCTGAGGTGCTCAGTTACACTGATCTGAGTATCTGTTTGGAAGGGCTGAGAGGCACCAACCAAGTCCTGTTTGAACTGATGTACAAATCAAAAAGGTGAAATGTGGATGTTAAATGTTCTGCTAATACTGGTAAAGACAAAAATACCAATCTCTAAGTAGGCTGGAGCACAACTGTATTTCAGGCAAGGTAGGGAAGAAGTGAGAGACCTTGAAAGGGAGTGGTTTTAGTGTATATGACTTTGGTCCATGGAGTGAAATTGTGGCCAAATGTTTCTGCAAAGCTTTGTGAGAATGCTGGGGAGGGGCTGCTGCAGCCAGTCCTGATGACATGGGTGGTGTAGAGTTAAGTCAAAACTGAGGTTTCTCACTGAATTGTTACTCACCTGATGGGGATCCTGAGTGTCACAGGTAAGAAGTTACATGAAAATCTGTAATGGAAATCTGGTAAATCCTTAAGAGCTGTAGATGTTTTTGTGTTTAATAGCTGATAAGGAACAGCAGTGAGCATAGAATCACAGAATGGTAAAATAGTCCAACATACTTTTCCCTCACCCTGCTTTTTGGTTGGTTTTTTTTGGGGGGGTGGGGGTGCGTTTTGGTGTTTTGTTTTTTTCCTCCATTTAATTGAGTGTTTGGTTTAGCACAGTGCATGGTTCAGTGTATCTGCTCCAGGAATTGAGCAAGAACTTTAGTAAGCTTAGCTGATGTGGGACACACATGTCCATGAGTTTTTGCCATGAAGTTACAGGCCATTTTCTTTCTGTTTGAGCATCTTTACAGTTTGGACACCACCTTCATTTCTGGACAGTTGTATCTCCAGCTCCATCAGCCTATCACAGCCATGTATTTCCTTAAAGGAAGGGAGATTACTTGTGCAGAGATGTTCTTGTCCCAGATACACTGCTTCCTACAATTCACCTCTAATTTAATTTTTTTATTCTCAGTACCCTGCTGTTTCTCCTTATGTCAGCCACTAGTGATCTATTTATTTCCATATCTCCATAAATATGTGTTCCTCAACAGACTCATGAAATAATTCTCCTGTTACTTTAAAGAATTACTTTGGGTATATGTGCCTGCACAAGTGTGTGACACTTCAGATTAAAGCACAAACCTTCAGGGACTACTGAGAGACTTAATTTATCAGTTGATTACTGTACAGCTGCCATCATGCACTATTTCCTCTTATGTGAAACATCTGGAACTTGCTGTTGATGAGATGAGAGTGGTTAACTCTTGTAAATCAGATAAGCCAGAAGATTACAAATGAAGCCTGTCATGTTTGGGTGATGACACATTCTTGCCACTTGCTAGGATTCCAGGACTTGCAATGAAAATGCAGTTGAAGTTCTCCCTTCCCTCGAGCTATTTGAGGATAGCCTGCTGGACACAGCACGCACACAAGTACAGGGTGCAGGAGCAGAGGCAAGGGCATGACAGGAAGGTTTGACTAAGCAGTTTACTGGAGGGATTTAGCATTAGATCTGCAAACATGCATGATCTGAAGTTTCTGGAAATGCACAGCCAAAAATCTTGGCAAAGAATAATAACAGTAATTAACCAAATAATTCACTAGTGAATGTGCTTTGTCTCCTGCATGTAGTATGGGCACGCTGCTAGCAAGGGCCCTCTAGAATTCACTGGATTTGTAAAGCCTTTCTTTATAAGGATTAATTGTCCTTACTCAGGAACCTGTTCTGATACCTTCAAACAGTTTTTCTAAGTTCACTACAAAAGGCTGCTTCAGATAGGGGCCCACAGGGTGTCCTGAGAGGCTGTCCAGCCTGGGCAGTGAGATGGGCAGAATGGCACATTCCATCTTCTCAGTTCAGTAATGCTACCTCCTTGTTTTCAAACAATGCAGCACAACTGCTGTTTTGCTGATGCGCTGCAAGACTCAAAACTTGATGTGGCTTGTGTGGGTGGTTTGGTTGGGGTTTGGGTTTTTTTTTCCGGGGGTGGGGAGAGCAGGGTTGTTTGGTGGGCTTTTGTTCAGAGATTTGTTGGGGTTTTTTTCAGTAATTATATCAAGTCAATTTCATCTCTCTTTTGGGGAAATTGTTCAGGTAGAGAAGACAGTCTTCCTGATATTTTCCCAACTTCCCGTGACTGCCTTTTGATTTGTTTACAATTACACATTTGGTTGATGTGTATGAAATCATTAAACTGCCTTGACTACATGTGAAGAAGGGAAATGTGCAATTGGGAAGAGAAGTGACATCCCAGCAGAGCAGGCACATGTACAATCTGGCTTCTGCTTTCCCTCTGTGTTGCAGAAGGTGAGCA